ACCTCTTCCACCCTTTTTAAATAATCCCCAAAACACGTGCACGCAATCATGGCTGAGAAAGAAGGATCGGCAGTGCCACCCCAGGCCAGAGGCTCATGGACGAGCTTCCTCAAGGTATGGAATTATCCCAGCATCCTCACGTGTCTAGAGATATTCGCGCATAGCGAATAGGCTCGTACCTTCAGGAACTATGGTGTTTGACTCCAACATGGCATTTGACTAACACACGATAGTCCATCGCGTCCTTCAATGGCGACCTGTCCACGATGACGGCGCCTGCCTTCATCCTCTCCACAAAGTCGCTCACCGAGTTCTCGTGCGTCTCATTCATACCCACCTCTCAGGAATCAGACTAAACCACAGCAGCTCATACTGGACCGAACACCCCTCCGTCTTCGTCGCACCGGCCGCCGAGAAGGACCCTGCCAAGCGGGCCATGCTGGTGCTGAAGTGGTTCCTGAGCACACTGAAGCAGCAGTATGCCAGTCGGTCAGAGAAGCTGGGCAGCGAGAAGAAGCCTCTCAACCCCTTCCTGGGCGAGCTCTTCCTGGGCAAGTGGGAGGACCAGGCAGGCATAACACAGCTCGTCAGCGAGCAAGTCAGGTACGCGCACACACGCGTTTGCGATGGCTCAGCCTGTCGTAAGCATGCCACGCGTATAGGGCGGGAGAGCTAATGCAATGCGCGCAGTCATCATCCACCCGTCACGGCTTACTCCATCTGGAACGACCAACACGGCGTCCGGCTGGAGGGATACAACGCGCAGAAAGCGTCCTTCAAGACCACGATTAATGTCAAGGTAATTACCCTTGGTATCTTCCGTGTACACCACTAACATATCACAGCAAATCGGACATGCCATGCTCCACCTCGACAACTACAACGAAAGCTACCTCATCACCCTCCCCGCCCTCCACATAGAAGGCCTCATCACAGGCTCCCCTTACGTCGAGCTCAACAGCAGCACCTACATCCAATCCTCCACCGGCTACACCGCGCGCATCGACTACAGCGGCAAGGGCTGGGTCTCGGGAAAGAAGAACTCGTTCACCGCCGTGCTATACCCCGAGGGCAAGGAGAAGGAAGCCATCTACAAGGCCGACGGCCAGTGGACCGACTCGTTCCAGATCAAGGATGCCAAGACCAAGGCCGTCGTCGACACATTCGACCACAAGTCCACAAAGACAACGCCCCTCACCGTCGCCGCCATCGAGCAACAAGACGACTTCGAGACACGGCGCGCGTGGAAGAAGGTGTCGGATGCGATTAACAGTGGCAACATGGACCTGACGAGTGCGGAGAAGACCATCATCGAGACCCGCCAGCGCGAGATGCGACAACAGGAGAAGGACGCTGGGAAGGAGTGGGAGCGCAAGTTCTTCTCAAAAGCACCAAAGTACCCGTTGTTCGAGCAGCTGGCCAAGAAGATTGGCGAGGGCATCAATGATGGGCAGACGAATGGTGTTTGGAACTTTGACAAGCAGAAGGCGGATGCGGCGAAGAGCCCGTTTCACCCGGATGTTGTGCCGCCGATTTATGAGAGGAAGTGAGGGTAGGACGTCGTTCCTCTAAGGCATACATGTTTAGTCAGATCATCATGACGGATGAGTATAATGATGCTTTCCGTGGGACCACAATTTTACGGCAGTCGGGCTAGGGTGGGACGGAGTCGTAATACACAGGAACGAGCGACTTGTCCGGAACCATGCTGTCCAAGCAATGACGCATGCGGTCTCACAGCCTCAGGAGCATCTATTTCATTGCTACAAGTACTCTAGTATTACCAAGAACGAAAAGATTTGTCTTTCACAATTGTTGACGTCTGAATCTATTTTACAATTCCCATTGTTGGGTGATGATACAGTTACTTTTACACATGCGCTCGCGAGCGAAGCTTGGCTGTTGAACCCACTTATTTTGAAACATCTTTTGAATCCGTTCTCTTATCATTCCCATGTCGCTGCCAGCATTGTCGGAAGATTTCCATCTGAACATCCAGTCAGTTTGAGTGTCAGGAAATTGCCTTGCTTCTTTCGGCTAATCCTCGGCTCATCCAAGGTTCAGAGTCCAGAAGCAATGCTCCTCACCAAACAACTTACCTCTTGCTTACACGCCCGCCAGTCTTTCTTCTCGTAATAACAATCTGTCAATTTTGCGTTTTCGTCTGCGCAGCCGGTGCTGTAGATGCGCTTGTCCCTGCGAAACCTTGGTTAGCTTCTTTCGCTTCTCAACTTTTGTTCCTCGCTTCCCCGGATCTCCGCATCTACCCAAACCGAAAAGCTGGAAATTCTGTACGCACCAGTCATCGGGTTCATCGTCAATCAACAATTGCGCTGCTGCTGCGCGGGATTTATCTTCGTTTGACATACTTCAAAGAGTTGGATACAGGAACTGAGACGCGTGGTGTGAGGATATCGAGTCGCGGAAACTTGCGCAGGGTCTTGTCATTGAGAGAGTTGATTTGAGCACGGCCGGCCAAACTCGGTCCGCACTACTACTAAATGTCACCAACAGTCAGTCAGCATACGAATCGCACATCGCATATCACTATCGCCAAGATCATGGCGAGCAAAAAGATGAATGTGCTGGTATACTCCGGTACGCCCTTTCCACACTTCCTCACACCCCCACCAAGATTACTAAACCCACCCAGGCAACGGCAGCACCACAGAGTCCGTCCGCCACTGTCTCTACACTCTGCGTCGGCTTCTCTCTCCATCGTATGCAGTCATCCCCGTAACAGGCGACACCCTCATCAAAGAACCCTGGTTCAGCACATGCGCCTTACTCGTCTTCCCCGGCGGCGCCGATCTAGGCTACTGCCGCACGCTCAACGGCGAAGGCAACCGCCGGATTAGTCGGTATGTAAATGCCGGTGGTTCTTATCTCGGTTTCTGCGCCGGAGGATACTACGGTAGCAGTAGGTGTGAGTTCGAAGTCAACGACCCCAAAATGGCTGTTGAAGGAGAGAGGGAGTTAGGTTTCTTCCCTGGAACTTGTAGGGGATTGGCGTTTGAGGGGTTCAAGTATGCGAGTGAAGCTGGGGCGAGGGCGGCGGAGATTAAGATTGAAAAGGGTGCTTTTGAGGGGGTTGATGAGGGGGTTGGTGATGTGTTTAAGAGCTATTATAATGGTGGGGGTGTTTTTGTTGATGCGGGGAAAATGGAGAGTAGGGGGGTGCAGATCTTGGCGAGTTATACGGAGGATTTGCATGTGGAGAGTGGAGAGGGGAAGGCGGCGGTTGTGTATCGGAAGGTTGGTGAGGGGCATGCTGTTGTTACTGGGCCGCATCCTGAGTAAGTTTCTCTCAGTCGTCTGTAGCGTCGTTGCTAACACACCTCAGATTCGCGCCTCAGAACCTAAGCAAGATACCCAGCTTACCTTCGTATGCTACCGTCATCAGCGACATCGCAGCTACAGATGCTACTCGACTTGACTTTATGCGCTTGATCCTCCGCAAACTTGGACTGCAGGTCAACGACCAGGAACAAGCGGTACCGTCCCTTTCCCGCCTGCATCTCACCGCTCATAACCTATCAGACGTTGCTGAACTCGTCGCTACGTGGAGTGAAATCATCACTGTAGTCGATGGGGATGAGTATATCAAGGGCGAGAACGATGTATTTCGCATTGAAAAAGAGGGGAGCGCGTGGAGCGTCAAGGAGTTGAAGAGGGCTGTCAGCGCTGTGTCAGAGAAGCTGCCTACCCTTGCTTCTGTTACGAGCAGTAGTAAGGAAGATGTTGAAGAACAGTCTAAAGAGGAAGACCCAAAGAAGAAGAAGCCCAAGACCCCAGAAGAAGAGATCCAAGACTGCATCACCTACACATCCACCACGCTCCCCGACCAAATCGTCTCCTACGAAAAGATCATCAAAGTCATAACACCCCACTCGAAAGCCCTACCATCCCCCGAAGAAACCCCCTTCCACCACGAAGCCTTCTACTTAAACCTTCACCACTACCACACCAAGCTCCGCAACCCGAACGCCTCCTTCGGCAAACATCTCATCTACGCCGACGTCGTAACCTCCACTAACACGCTCCTCGAGAAGAACCCGTCCCTATTACGCAGCCTACCAAACGGCTTCACCATAACAGCGACCACGCAAATCGCGGGGCGCGGCCGCGGAAACAACGTTTGGATCGCGCCGCCGGGGGCACTCATGTTTAGTACCGTCTTGCACCATTCCTTCACGCTGAGTCAGAGTGCGCCCGTGGTGTTTGTGCAATACCTCGCCGCCCTCGCCATCGTCCAAGGCATACAGTCCTACGCTCCGGGCTACGAAAAAATCCCCGTCAAGCTAAAATGGCCAAATGACATCTACGCGCAACTCCCCGGCTCGTCCAACAACCCCGTTGTGAAAATCGGCGGGATTTTGGTTAATAGCAGTTACTCTGGTTCTACGTACGATGTTGTTACGGGGATTGGACTCAACCTGAGTAACGCGTTGCCGACTACGAGTCTAAACCTCCTGGCAAAGAGTTTAAACCCCCCGCTGAAAGACTTTACGCCAGAGAAGTTGCTGGCGAGTATACTTGCGCATTTTGAGACGTTGTACAGTACGTTCACGCAGAGTGGTTTTACGCGCGAGATGGAGGAGTTTTACTACGCCAACTGGCTTCACACGGATCAGTTGGTTACCTTGGAGAGTGTGGAGGGTGGTGGTGGTGGGGTGGGTGGGTATAACGGTGGGGGTGCGGTGAAGGCGAGGATCAAGGGGATTACAAGGGATTGGGGGTTGTTGCTTGCGGAGGAGGTTAGGGAGGTGGATGGACGCGGGACGGGGAGGGTGGTGCAGGTGCAGAGTGATGGGAATAGCTTTGATTTTTTTAGGGGGTTGGTTAGGCGAAAGGTCTAGCTGTGGAGGGGTGGGCTGATGAGGATATGGGATGAGGGTGTGTGATGAGAGTGTAAGGATACTAGCTGATATTCCTAGATGAAAGATCAAGGTTTCTATGACTATTCAGCATCATCCACGTCATTCTGACGTCTGCGCCTCTCAGCTCGACATTTGTCCATCTCGCCAAACCAAGGGCAATCTGCGTACCCAGAATCCCATAGACTGCCAATCCCCGCCATTTATCTCTGCCACCCCCAACGGATAAATCACCAGCCTGGGCTCGAGCTTGTCCGATCTTATGAATCTAGCGCACAGCCTCTTCTCCTCGTAGCAACAGGGGCAAGCCCTCGTCGAATAGATCTCCCTAGGCTTTTCTTGTTGGTCTCCACCACGCTCAGCAATATCATACTGTTCTTGATACCACTCCCTGGAACCCAGAACCAGCGCTGATTTAGGTTCCTCTGGTTCGGGCGGGTGAGGTGCGTCGAGTAGACTGAATACACAGGTGTCCGCATCGTTCACTTCATTCATCATCTTCCGATACTGCGTCCTGTGCCTCGGCTTCCTGAGGAAATCTTTGTTGAATTTGCGTGTCATCTCCTTGACGAATGCGATCGGAAATTCGTCCAGCTCTTTGAACTCGAAGCCTTCCCCGATGGGTACCCGGAAAACCACATCGATGTTGCGCATGAGTGAACTTTCGGTTGTAGTTCTGAACCTCCCGCCTGCGCAAGTTAGTTCTGTATCGGCAAGGTCTTCAGTATAGTCCTCGTCACTGCTGCACCCATCTTCGCTGTCGATGAGGCTTAGATCGAACATGACAGAATACTCTTGGATTTCTTTCCAGGGTATGGGTACAACTTCATCGGTAGTCGCATCGGTGTCGACGTTGGTGTCGTCGGCGGCGGCGTTGGCATCTCCTTCTGGTTCATCACCGACAACGATATCCGCCTCCTCCTCATCTGAAATCTGTGTCTGGACCTGGTCTTCTTCCTCTGCCTCTGACTCTAGGCTTACGGTTCTTGTCCTCTTTCCTGCTTGCGCAAGATTGCTTCCTCTTCTCTTCGCGCTCGTAGTTGATGATCGGGTTGCTCTTGGTCTTGGGGTCTGGGCTGGCTGTGACTGTGGAAGGTGTGCGGGTCGCGATTCTGTCTAGCCGTTAGTCGTCATATCGTGACTGATCGCACTTGCACTCACCTTTGCTACCACGCTTCGCACGCCCGCGAAGAGTCCGGCCTTTGCTACGGACCGCATCGCCGTCGTCATCAGCGACGTCGCCGCCATCTTTGTCTTCCACCGGTGCTACCCCACCGTCTGCTTGAGCCGCTGCAATCTCTTCGAACACCTGTGTCGCGATAGTATTGAGGCTTTCTCTGGAAATGCCAGTCTTGAGTCCACAGGTGATGACGTCGATGAGTTCTTCGCCGCTCATGCCTACGAGAAGACCGCTTCTTGCAGCTGCAAGTGCAGGGTTACCGGATAGCGCTAAGAGCGCATCGTGGTAGTTTTGGACCGTTGACATGGTGAATTGGTGGATTGAACGGGGTCGGCGGGAGTTTGTGTAGGTAGAGAGTGTGGGAGACGGGGAAGAAGCTGGCGAGAGAATACAAGGTGAACGTGGGTCTGAATGCGGCGCTAGTCTAGTCGGTGAGTGACACGGCGACGAGCGCACCTTTACTTGCGCATCGATTCTCACATCTTGATGTCCATATATTAACGTTTTGCACGGCTACTAGAAGGTAAAAGATGCTGCTGAGCTTTTTACTCAATGTCTTTCGGTGATTAATGCAAGGAGGAGTGTATTGGCCATGAGCTGTATCTACACAGCCATTGATTGAAGTGTACCCCAGAAAGCCACAATCTCTTTTCCGTCTTCGATTGTAAACTTGGGTGTCCATGTATACGTCTAGGATAGGTCTTGTTGTTGATATCTTCATCATAGTATGCATAAAAATGGCGAAGATCTTTATACATGGATTGTGGTGTTAACACCACACATTTAAGATGCTTATGAACTAACCCAATACTCCATGTCGTCTGCATCTACATCATGTAGCGCGTCGTAAGGCAAGGGCAGGAAGACGAGCTTGACAACTCCATCGATCATGAGCAGCCGAGCGCACAAACGCTTCAAATCGACGCAGCGTCTACACGCTTGCTCTGTTTCACGGGTTGCCCCAATTGCCATATCACTCCTCTGAGCGACCTGAAAGTTGACGCAACAACGCTTATCGATTCTCCTGTCTCGCAGTCTCAATAGCTTGCCCCATTCTGACACGTGGCGATCAGTGGAGAGAAAGTCCTTGTCGAACTTTTGAATGATCAGAGCACCCAAGTTGCTTTCAGGGACGAATGGAAGGTAGATCCTCTTTTTCATATCATCGTAATCCCATCCCTTGTAGTAGACAATCTCGATAGGTGGAACGGTCTTGTCGTCTATCACCTGCTCCGTCGAGCACCGAAGCGTCACCTTTCTGGCGGATGGTGCCTGTGTGGCGGCTACAGGAGTCTTATTGGGCCTGGATCGCTTGCGAATCTGGGTGCCGGAAGACGACGGAGTCGGTCGCTTCTCTATTGCTGGTTGGCCTGTTCCAGGATCATTGTTGATCGTGATGATCTCATCCTCTGCTGCTGTATACTCAGTGAATTTTCTCAGAACTGGGCTCAGTCTACTCACATGACTGCTGGATGTCATCTCCGTGCGGTTGCTCACTCTTGACGCTAGCCGTCGCGACACAGCCACCGTCACCGTTGACTGAGGCCGGGTCCCTAGCGATGACGTCCAAGATGACTGAAACGATGTCCTCCAAGCCGCCGCGCGCGAACTCTCTTCCCATGACCTTCTTCAGGAGTTCCGAAAGGTCGTCGTCATTGATGCCTTGGAGAAGATGTTGGCGGGGTGTGGCAAGCTGCTCGTTTCCGGAAAGCGCCAGCAAGGCCTTGAGGTAGGAATCGACGGTCGACATGGCGAGTTGTGCTGAGTGGAATGAGATGTAGGTTGGAAGGTGAAGGAAAGAGCGGCGTTGCGGTTGACTGCGCGGCGCGGCGCAACGGAGGTAGCGGTGGTGACGCGCGGGTTGGGAAAGTGCAAACGGACGAAATGACGCACATGCATCGACAGAAGATGAACACTATTAAACCAGGCAGAAAGAATCAAAACACAGTTTAGAACCGATCTTAATCAACGAACCCATCATAAGCGCCGTATCCGTCCTTCCTCTACTAGCTATCGCGGCCTGGGGATGAAGCCCCTTGAAGTCGGGCCTCTCGTATCCAGAATCAATCTCGCGGTCTGGTTGCCAGGATTCCATGTCAACGGCCGGATGGCAGCTTTATACACGCCAGCGAGGCCTGTTTAGGAAGGGATAGCGGGCCTGAGCAGCATCTCTATTGCTAAACCTCTCCAAGTAAGCAGCCTGACCAGTACCACGAGGGCGAAATTCGTGCATTAAACCTCGCGCAGTACCTCTGTTGCGCGTCCTCTCCCAGTAGGCGACCTGACCGGAACCATGAGGGTGGCCTCTGGGCATAAAACCCCTGGATACTGGTGGACTTCCTCCTGCGCGCGTTGGCTGTTCCTTTATAGTATCGGGGCGTTTTTGCGCTTCTCGGCCTCGTTTGGGATTCGAATTGGTGGACACAGATGCTATCATTGACGAGCCCGGGGTTTGAATAAGCGCGCTGTCATCTACTTGAAAGTCTACATTAGTCAGGGTTACGATTGCCTAAGGATAATTACATTGTCTTACGTTTGGATCTCAGCATGGTGACTCCGTTGTCGTCGTCTGAGTCTGGTTCCATCTTGATCACGATCTCGCCATCTTCAATGGCATCTTCATGCTTCACTTCGACTTCAATCTCTCCATCTGAATCATGCGCGAGCTTCGAGCGAGAATCCCTTGCGATAACACCCAGCATGACTAGCGCAATTTCCTCTAATCCTTCTCTTTCGAACTCGGACTTCACACCTTGGATGACAACACGCGAGAGCTGATTGTCGCTGAGTTTCTTGAGTATGTCCTTGCGCGTGTCGGTGTCTGGTTGGCTGTGAAACTGCGCGAGCACGGCTTTGAGATCACTATCGTAGTATGACATGCTGAGTGGTGATGGAAGAAATAGCCCTGTTGTGTCGTTGTTTGCGACACAGCGCGACGCCAGCGTGTTTCCTGCGATGTCTCGTGGGTAGACAGGGAACGAGTGATGACCCAGCGAAGGTATTAGTGAAAGATAAATGGCGTCACCAGCTTCCAAAGCCACCACAGCTGCGACTGTGTGGACCAGGAGAAGCTGTTAGTGTTGATCTTTGTTTTGCGAAATGTTTGCCGGATGCTGTGTAACGCCATACAACTGCACCGCGACTAAGCGGACGCGTAAGCACGTGACACCATCACCAGCGGCATGGTATTACGTGCTAGAAGATGCTGTCAAACTGCCGGGTTGAGAAATTTCAAATCCGGTCTCGAAAGCAAATCGAAAACTGTCGCGAGCGTCACTTGAAGAGTATACTGTGGTACAGTTGGCTGTGGCGACTGTTGCTCGTTTGTCCGTATTTGGGCAGGAAGTTGGCCAAGCATTTGGCTGCTGACATTGCCCATACCCCGCCCGCATCGAGCGCTTACATACGACTAACAAGATGTCGAAGAATTTGCATCGACCGTTTAGACTCCTACTAAGTCAAAATCGAGTCAATTGGAGATCACATCGCGCGATATCTCAAACCGCTGCACATCGATGACGTCATGCCGGACGCTAAACCCGGCGACAGCATAGCGACCCGACAATGTTGGGAGTGCTTCAAACGCCGCCTGGTGTGCGATCGCACCCTGCCGCTATGCAGGAAATGTACCAAGACGGGTAAGGAATGCCCGGGATATAACGACCAGAAGCCGTTGCAATGGGTGAAACCGGGACACGTGACGATCCGTCCGAAGAAAAAGAAGAAGGAAAGCCGGCCAGCAACATCCGCCATCAGAGCAGGAGACTCCGAGAGACTCGCGCGCATCATTTCAATTGGACCCGCTGCTACTCCCGGGGTAACTAAAGAGACGGGTCTATTAGAGCTCCTCGGACAAGGAGGGTGCTCGTTGCTGGTGTCCAAAGAGCTTCAGCTTACTCCAGAAGAGATCGAACTATCCAAGAGCCAATTTGCCAACCTATTGGTGGAAGAAGACAAGCCAGCATGGTGGCGCAACCCGGGAATCGAGAATCAGGTCGACACCATTGAGCTAATAGCTGCAGAGGCCGGTGCGGGCTGTGGAGTGGGTGAGCGTATCATGTGCATCGGCAACAAAGACCAGATCAAGGAAGTAGTAGAGAGAGGTCAACACTGGGAAGCCGCGCTGCTATTACAGTCGAACAAGAGACCTCTCGAGAAGATACAGAGACTGCTGCAGATCATGGAGATGAACAGACTTCCGTCGTACGATTTCTTGTCGGATGAGACACACGACGTGGTACAAGCTATCAATTACTGTACGTGCGCAAAGCTAAACTGAATACCTGTACTAAGTCTCATAGTCAACACTAGGATTTATCCGGATATCCAAGAGACGGACTGCCTAGCACCCAATCCTGCAGTGGTGCACTTCCCAGTGTGGGCTTTGCATATACTTGCTCCGCCAATGCACTACACTACTGTCTGCCTGAGTCTCAACTACCACTTGACCTCGTTGCCTCCAGGTAAGGACCGTGCGACCATCGCAAACAATCGCCTCAAGATATACCATTATCGAGGCCTTGCTATACGCGCTCTCAATGAGAACGTCGCGAGGAAGGAAACGCGCAGTAGTGACCAGACAATCGCCAGCATTCTTATGTTCCTGGCAATGGAGGTACACTCTGACGAATCTGACACGTGCGGGTCCGAAAGGCTGATTGTTCTCTTAGGTACATAGCTCTACAGATGTTGACTGGAGGTCGCATGCAGATGGCATGAAGCGACTGATAGATATGCGTGGTGGCTTTGAATCACTACGACGCACAGTACCTCACATGACATCAGCGCTAGTGATCTTCGTACTGTTAGTATAACTCGACGATTGCGAAGAATGTGGCTGACACTATGCAGCATCGTAACCTTTTCGAACAGTCTTGGTCCAGCATCGCATCAGATCAGTATCACCAAGCCGATCGAACAGCACATTGAGGAAGTGGAGAAGGTGTATAGCCTTATTCTCCCTTATACACTGTGTCCGTCAAGCCTCTTCATCGAGATCATTCGCATCAACTGCCTCCGTCAAGAGCTCAGCCTCTCGCCCATCGTGGACCCGCATCAGTACGCTCAAGATGCACGCAGCATTCTCTCTCGTATCGAATCCTTCGGCCCAAGCGAATGGGTGCAGTCCAAGGATCAGAAAGATGACTGGCAGCCAATCGCATCGATCTGGCAGTCTGCAATCGCACTCTACTGCATAATGTCCTTGCAAGCTGTTGACATCCTTCCTAGCGACACAGAGATGGATCTCATGCGAATGCGGCATCGTGATCGTCTGCTCAAAGATTTGAAGGCTGCTACACCATTAAAACAGTTAAAGAAGATATCAACATTTCCACTGTGCGTACTTGGCGTGGAAGCAGGCTTTCACGTTCAGCAAAGTACTCAGATCTGGATTGAACGGCATTTGGAGGAGCATGCCCGCCTTCTTGGCAGCAACAGTCCGTTGAAGGCACGAGAAGTACTCAGACGATACTGGCGGCGGAAGAAACCTGGTTGGAATGAGTGCTTTGATGAGCCGTAAGTGTTTCATGCCGGGAGTTTCCAGAGAGATGGCTAATGAGATCGATTTGCAGGTTTACAACTCTTGTACCAGCGGGTGTCTGCTAATCCTCCTGACGAATCGATTCGGTCCCGACGGTTATGCATAGACCGACTGAAGCATGGTTCGTTCACTGCTTAGGCGAGCCCTGAATCTAGTCTGAGAGGATCATCAACCGTTGCATGCTCCAGTGCTTCCCATCACCAAGATTTCTACATTCGATGGATCACCGAGATGCCGAAGTGCATGCGCACTTGTCTTGTTTGGGTAGTAAAGTAGCGAGCTGACCTGACTGCATGCAAGGGACTGAAGCGCCTTCTGATGCTGGCCAATGCCAATCCCAGAATTCCATCGCCGCCATCGTTTCTCCTCTTTCGTGCTGTTCGTCTTGGCCCTCTTGGCTTCCTAAAAGAGTTAGCGCTTATGACAGGCGGCTTTTGTGCACTCAAGGTTCGATGGCATTATGGCTTCATAGGTCACGTCCAAAAATGACGAGGACTCGGCTCCGATACGGCCCCTACGACTAGCACTTCGCGAAAGACGCCTCATCTCCTCCTGTTGCATCTGCAAGGCTGACCGCGTAAGGAATCGAAATTTAAGAAAAGTACTTATATTGCGATGAACTCCCAAGGTCTAACTAGACACCATCGATAACCGTCACAATCGCCGCACCGAAATGTTCTCGAAGACGACCCTTTGCCTCGCGTTCAACGCATGCTTCAACCTCGCTTCGACGGCGTCGCAAGCATCTTCTAAATATACCAAATGCTCTGAGGCTTCCGAGCAAATCGCGATCAACTGGACAGATGCATCCACGGTTCTGGGCAGACCCGACACCTATCTCGGAAAGCTGGCTGTACCTCTTGACTATACGCTGCCCCATTCGAACAACAACACCCTCACCCTCAACATCCTGAAAGTCAAAGCGATCAAAGAGCCCAAGCTAGGGAGTGTGTTGACGAACTGGGGCGGTCCGGGCTTGCCCGCAACCGATTGGCTTCTGCAACAAGCTCGTTATGTCCTTGCGTAAGTTGCTCCTTGTAATGTAGATGCTGCAATCAGGTGCTAATGACTCTTCTTCCGCAGCATGACAGGTGGCCAATACGACATCATCGGTCCCGACCCCAGAGGCACTGGTACTACAATGCCCGTAGATTGTTACAAAGACGACATGGAACGGATGGTCGCGACGTTGCGGACACCAACGAGGACCAACTCATCCGATGTAGCGTTGGGCGCCGTTTGGTCCTACACCAAACAATACGCGGCACGCTGTCTTCAGAATGAGGCACTGAATGGATCATTGATGAGCACGGCTTTCGTTGCTAGAGACTTTATGAAGGTTGTCGATGCTCTGACTGTGGAAGGCGAGGATGGTCTTCTTCGGTACTGGGGTAAGTTGAAGAAGAGTGTCAGTATATGTGGATATGGACTAATCGACCTCAGGTATGTCCTACGGCACGTATCTTGGCCAGGTCCTAGCTGCTATGTTTCCGGATAAGATCGAACGAATGATGCTAGATGGTGTTCTTGACCCGCTCGAGTATCAACAAGGATGGTGTGTATCTTCTCAAAGTTGACTACAGTAGAAACTAACGGAGCGCCAGGGAGAGTGGACCGGCCGAATCCGCGCCAGTTGCCTTGGGACAGTTCACCAGACAGTGCATCGACGCTGGACCCTCATGCGCCCTCTTTCGCCCAAACCTCTCCTCCTCCGCGCTGTACGAACAGATCCAAAGCCCCACCGAAAGAGCCAAGCGCGAGCCAATCGTCATGGGCCCGAACGTCACAACGGATATCGTTACGTACGAAAAGATCGCCGAAGCTAGTGACACCGCTCTGCGCATGGGTCTGGCGTCCGGCTCTTACTTGGCTGGTTATCTCAACAGTATCATGATCCGCGACACTCCAGAATACAACCACACCCAGTATCTGCTCAACCGCTCCTTCATTGTCCAAGATGCTGCGTTGAATGCAGACAACACCCAGCTCATCCGCTGTTCCGATGCCATGTTTCGTGCTGACGAGCTTGCCGACATCGAAGAACGCGTCCGGCACATAACGGAGTTGAGTGATTGGAACAGCGATTACACTATCGGCGCTTATATCATGTGCTCGCTATGGAAGATCAAGGCGAAAGAACGGTACGAGGGTGACTTTAAGGCGAAGACGAAGAACCCCGTGTTGCTCATCGGTTCGCCATATGACGTCCGCACTCCAATCTCCGGGGCTTATGCGGCGAACAAGACGCTCGAAGGAAGTGTTGTGCTTCAGCACGATGGTCTCGGGGTAAGTTGGAGAGCAGTTTTCGGCTTCATGGACGGGCTTGGTCTTATGGACGGGTGTAATGTATTCGGGAGAGAACATCGCTAACGACATTGGTAGCACACGGTTATGTACAGCCCTGGGGCCTGCGCCATTACCGCAACGGCTGCGTATTTCGTGAACGGGACTATGCCGGAAGAAGGGACGGTGTGCGAGCAAGACTTTGGTATCTTCTCTGGCAAAAGTCTGAACGATACTCTCAATCTTCTTGGCGAGCCTTAGTCTTCCACAGCTTGGATTGTGAGACTTCGTGGGGGCATTGTCGAAACAATAGAGGAGGTGGAGGTTGATTCGTCGATGAAAATTGGATGGTGTGTTCGGAAGCTCATGGTGGGTGGTTGCTTCGGCATGAACGCTGGATGATCATTTCGTAGCTGCCTGTAGATCTTCCCAATGCGGCTCATTTCTACCGCGCTGCTCTTCTCTCTCGCTCCTCGATATGCATTGTGAGACGCTTGATGTGCCGCATGTGACTACTCATTAGGAGATAGAGAAGCTCGGGATACCTAATGGTCTACGTGCATTCCCCTCCCCAAATTTAAAAGGGACTCCGTTAATTCTGACGTATGCGCCGAGCGACACCGAAGTCTGGCCTGCGCGATACTTATCGTGCAAGGGAAATACGCACAGTTTGGGGCCCACGGCGTCCAGGATGACTCTGACACATAGACGCATCCGGCCATTGCAATGGTCACAAGCCCTGTCCTTGTCTCCTTCGGCTGAAGTGTACTTTGATGCGCCTGTGCTGCGGTACAAATAGTGGTTGACACACATTCCCCTCTGCATGAAGCGCTCTGTATATCCCACTATTGTCCGATACATTTGACCCGTTTTCGAATGCGGTATGTAGTCTTCAATGAACTTTGCGTGGATCGCTCGACCGTCTCCACCTGCCAGGTTATGGAGAGGTAGCCAGGCGCCACCTCCATGGGGATCCGGAGCCCATATACCTATTCTCAGTCTGGGATTTGGGTCGCTTACGGAGCCTGCGGGAAATGTGATGGGAAATGCGATGAAGTTCCAATCCGTCGTAGAATTTTGGTTCGAGGACAGCATCACCGGTGGCGCTATTGAACTTCTTTCAGCCTCATCTTTAACAGGATCTTCTAGATCGATAATCTTCGGAAGTATCGGTGGGTGCTGGTCGTTTTGTCGTAGAATGATCTGCATCCTATTCGTGTCACTCGTGTCCTCGGCATTGTCCTCGTCTTCACGTAGATCAATGGTGTTGCATGATGATTCACGAATCGGCTCATTCTTGATTGCCTTCCAAGCAGCTTCCTGCGACTCGCTATCGGAATCGGGGACGGTGCGCTTTCGCTTGGCCACCGACGTGGTTGTTGCCGTCATAGTTCCTGTGTTGTGTTTCTGGAGTGCGCCTGGATGTGCGACAGGTGCGGAACCCAGGTATTCTGCGTAGATGTACATGAGCTCTTGTCTCATATGCCGAGGATCTTATATTTACCAGTCTTTGGAACTGTCATTGGCTCGATATTCGGATTCTCTTTGAGAATGTTGAGCATTGCGCAGACCAATCGCTCTCGTACCTTTCGGTTGGTACATCCGGTTATCCCTTCGACGGCAACGATTTCCAGCTCTTCCCAGTTCAGGCCATCAATGAGCCTCATGCGCGCATCGGCGAAATCTTCATCACCGGAGAGTTTAAGTAGCGCCTTCAGATACGAGCTCGTCATCGTGTAGATGCGCACACGTTAGTGTTGCTGTGGTGCGAGGTGAGTAGCCGGCACCGGATGTTTGTTGATGACGCCGGGCGGCATTCCCCGGCGGAGCTAAGGACTAGCGCATCGTCTGAAGCTTGGACCAGCGAACACCAAAGGTTTGCGAATCTGCATCGTGCCCAGCATCCTTCACACACGATTTTATCTCGCGGCCACTTCACAACAATGTCAAGGGCGAAATCACGCATCAACAAAGGGCTTAGATGATCGTCAGTAAGGCCAATAGCTGTGAGAACGCACACCATCAAACAGCAGATGATATTATTATTGTTGATTACACGGGTAATCTACCGCTCCGCCGTCTCACTCCTTTTCCGCAGCAGAAAAGCCCCGAACACCCTACTTGACCGCCCGATCAAAACAAACGAATAAGAGTCTATGTCGCGTCAGGATTTTCATGCCTTCCGTTTCGAGACTAATGTAGACTCAAGCATACCTGCTCATTTTCTGTCTCGCCGCCTGCCTCTTCGCCATTATCCTCCCATGACCCAAACAGCAATGGAATTCAGCGTCTTGCCTTCACGGAGCACTTCAGGTAGCGGGAAGACGCAGAGCTTTGTACCGGAACCATCAGCTACGACTCGTACACATAGGCGCTTTGTGCGAATGCAGGTGTCGCAAGCCCTATGCTCGTTTCCATGAGCCTTCTCGAAAGCAGAGTGAGCACACCCCCTCTGCCAGATGGCGATGTTGACGCATTTACCCTCGGTTTTATAGCGTGCTGCGTTCCTAGCCATCGCTCCATATGCCGCACGCTTGGGTCGGTTGAAAGCAAAGTCCGTCAGGAATCTTGCATGGATACTGCCACCCAATCCAAGGTCGCCAAGGGGCCGCCATTCCTCCTTCCCAAAAATGTCGATAACCCATGCACCTATCCTCATCTTTGGTACAGTGAAGGTTGTGGGGCGTATGTCGATGACATTGATGTCGGCGCTGGCGTCTGCGGGGGTCTCATCTTGTAGGTCGTGGCCATGTTTCGCGGTCGTACCCTCCCAGTCTTCATCGTCATCTTCTTCTTCTCCTTTGATACCGTCATTGGCCGCGCTCAGCGCGGCCACTTTGTGAAGTCGGACGTCGAAGTGATCTGCGTTTTCCGCGGCCTTCCTTTTGGGTTGGATTCTCTGCGATGATGTGCCAGATCTTGCGGGATCGTGCGCGTCGCGAGTGGGTGTATGTTGAGGTCGTATAGGATGCTGAAGGCCTGTGTAACCATTGATCAGTAAGCGATTCTCACTCAGCCTTCAGCTTCTTACTGTTTTTTTGTGGCAGTCAACTCGGACGTCGCGCTCTGTTCTGCGTCGATGTGATGAAGCATTCTGTTGCTCAATTGCTCAAGTGTTTTGCGGGTGGTGCAGCGCTTCAAGCCGTCCTGGAGTAGAGTACGGAGTTCATCGTCGCTGAGACTTTGCACGAGCTTCAAGCGCGCGTCGGCGAACGCATGACCGGAGAAAGCGAGCAGAGGCTCGAGGTAGGATTTCGCCATATTCTGGATATTGAGCGCTTCGAATTCAGAATCGGATATGGTCCAGTGCGAGCGAGGCAAATTTCGATTTGTTTACATCCAGGCAGGTACGATGCGCTAGCGCCAGAAACGGGAATACGTCAGAGCAAACGGGAGCACCACCACGAGCACACATAACGTTAGAGATTGTCCATTCGTTAAGGGCTGATGGTGTGCATTTCGCAAATTGCGACACACGATTCAGCCATGCGAGACTAATTCTGTCATCCCCGCCGCCATCACCACCCCAAATTCGGCTGCGCGACGAAGTCATACACAAATACCTGCTCGAGCAACGGGTCCGTCTCATTCTGCGGCGATGTCAGCTTCAACACTTCTGCGACGACGGAAATGTCACATACTTTCAATTTATCATGCGTGGGATCTTTGTCAAACACCTGTCTCGCGGCTTCGTCCTACTCATCGTCAGCACTTGCGTCTCGCTTGCGTCACCATCCACTCCATACCTTGAAGACTACAACGAACCCCAAATCCCATACACTCTCCCTCTTCACGTTTGTCAGGTTCAATGGCGTATTCAGCGGTCTTCCTCCTTTTGGTCCTTCGATCAGCAGCTCCGGATGCTCAGCGTAAAGCGCGAGAAAGGCGGATGCGCGATCGCCTTTTTGCTCCGCGGTGACGTTGGGTAGGAACCGGAATGTCGCTATGCGCGTGACCGGGGATGTATCGGTGGAGTTGGGCGTTGAAGTGGACATTGTGAACGAAGAAGCAAGGCTAAAGTAGGCGACGAGGGCCGTGAGGAGGTGGAAGTGGAGTTGCATTGTGCTGAAATAAAAGCGGCGGGGTATGCGCTTTAAGCAATGTAAGACGGAACAATGCTGTGCGACTTCCACCAGGGCGTAACACCATAAATGAGGAAAGCCGTTGTGCATGCAGTCGGTCGCGATGCTGACCGCGTATTGGTGCGCTAAACTTTAATCTGACCTGCATGCGGAGGTGGGGATAGGCGGGCGGAGAGCCGAAGTCACCACATCACATGCGCATCGATGCACGTTAACAGTCCTTATGAAGTTTTATTGTATTATCACTTTTGAGAATACTGTAACAATGCCAACCCGACTTTTTCGCGCCAATCGCAATGACAAAGGAGACAAAGAAAGAAGAATAATACAAGAGTATACAGCTGGCCAGAGATCGCAGAACGCAAGAACATCCAAATATGGCGCCAGATAAACTAAAGAGATGGACGCACTTTAGGGCAAGCCTTCTTGACTTGCGCTCAGTGCGACGGCGATGAGAGTCCGGTGAACCTCCAGTCGACTCAAAATCGTTCGACGTTGAGGGTCGGTTGGGTGTGGCAGATGAGCCAAGCCACTTTTGTGGCCATGGTCTCATCGCAGCTGGGTGAAGGAAACACCTTTGTGTTCCAACTATCTCCAGGTAGTATCCACCAAGTATCTTGGTGGTGGATGGCCAATGAGTCGTCAAGACCTTTAGCCTTGCGCTCATCCCGACCGGTGGTTCAAGCCTCTCTGGGTCTAGAACTCATCTCGGTCGTCAGATGTCAAGTCTCTCTGGACGGATTCAGCTGAGCCAGTGTAGTAGGTATGATCCCGATGGGCGCGGCGAAGGGGTGGAGGATGAGGCAAGACCTTAGACTTGCACTCATCCCGACCGGCGGTTCAAGCCTCTCTGGGTCTTGAACTTATCTCGGTCGTCAGCTGTCAAGTCTCTCTGGACGGATTCAGCTGAGCCAATGCGGTAGGTATGGACCCGGTGGCCGCGTCTCTCTGGGCGCGGCGAAGGGGTGGATGATGAGGTGAGCTCTTTGAGCTTGCACCTTGCCGACTGGGTGGTGGAGTCTCTCTGGACTTTGCATCAGCTCAGGCGGCGTCGGCGTGGTAGTAGATAAGGTGCGCTCCTTGAACTTGCACCTGGTCGATTGAGTGGTGAAGTCTCTCTGGACTTTCGACCACCTTGACTGACGGCCGTCGATGTTCTTTGTCATGATCGGCCGGAATGAGTGTCGGCATAGCTTTAATGGGCGCCCGCTTTGGGCGCGGAGGTAGATGGGGAAAGCTCTTTTGGCTTTCGTTCGGAAGAGATGTTGTCCTGACTCAGCGAAGATGCGGCGAGCGATGGAAGCCTTTTCGACTTCGATGCAGGTAGGTTGTTGAGTCGGCGATAAGTATGTGGACTACCGATGGTCTGGTATCTCAGAAGAAGGATTAGGCTCAGCGGGCTTAGCGGATTAGCCCGGATGAATGCGCACTCTAGAGGCCGCGGCGTTGAAGCACTGAGCGACGACGCTCGACGGTACTTCGCTTCTTATCCTTTGCATCCTCCTTTTGGCGAGCCTCGCGCTGTTTCACGACTACTTCCTTGGTCACGAACTTCTTGTTGCGACCTTGACGCTCAACTTGCTCTACCTCGTCTGAGAGGCTGGCGCTGCGACGGCGCTTTACACCAAGAGAGGAGGCGGAAGATGGCGTAGGTGACGGAGCTGGAGGAGCTGACGGAGCGGAAGCTGACGGAGCTGACGAGCCGGCAGCGGTCGTCTTAGCCTGAGATAGTCGAGCAGAGCGACGCGGGTTGATCTCGACGCGTCCGGACGTCTGTGAGGTCACTAAACCGGGAGGGCTCAGGAAGGATTGACTGCCAAAGCGGCTGCGGGAAAAAGAGTTTGCGAAACCTTGAGTCTGGCTGAGAGGGCTTTGCGACCGACCCAGAGTCTGCTGCGACTCACCAAGGTACGTGGTGTCGGGCGTTTCCTGGAACTCATTTTTGACACCGGACACCGAAGACTGGAAGCCCGAAGAATTGGACGAGCCAATGGAGCTCTGGAAGCCGGGGGTGTCGTCCTCGACCTTGATAGCGGGTGCAGCGGATGGTGCTTGCTTGGCAGCAGGGCGGGTCTTCTTGATAGTGCTTAGGTTATCAGAAGTGAAGGAGATGGCGTCGGGGTCCATCTCTTCGAAAGCGTTGAGGGTGCGCTTGGCGCTTGTGATCGTGGCCTTTTCGGCCTTGATGGCGGGCGTAGGAGGAGACTTGGAGTCGGCGGTGCGATGAATCTGGTTATGGCGCTGGACGTCGCTGTCATCCCTATCTTCTACCTTGACGAGGTTGTCCTCAGTGATAGCGACGGGTGCGCGCTCGATGATCTTTTCTTCACCGACATCGAGGTAGTCGTCGGCGCGCCCTCGATTCAATGAGGTCGGCTTCATGGTGTTGGCCGATCCGATCTCGGTCTTAATGGGTCGATCGATCTCGACCTTGACGGCAGGCTCTTTCGCGAACTTAACGGAGTTCTGGATCTCGGCCTGTGCAGACTGCTCTTTCTTGACCTTGGTCGGCGTCTTCACAGCTGCGACTGACTTCTCTTTCAGAGGCCAGCCTTGAAGCAGCGAGTTCACGCTGACGGACATCGGCGGTTGCAACATGGATGGCGAGACTGGTTCGCTCCACGGGACGTCCATGAAATACTCGTTGATATTGCGAGGCTTGCCGAACCGCGAGAAGGTGTCGGGGTTCGATCGATGAAGCGTCCTCGCAGGTGAGTTCGAAGTCGCGCTCTGATCCTGGAGCTGAGCCCGCCTATCGCGAAGACGAGAGCTGTTGTCCAAGTCCGCCTGGAGGTTGGGACGTTTGGGATCGAAAGGGATTGGGTACGCCTCCAGCTTGTCGTTGAGGTATCGGGTGAGCTCTTGGGAACAGCCGGGGGAGAGCTTGACGCCGTGCTTCTCAAGAATGTCCTTGATGTCATGCGAGAGATGATGAGGACTCTGCTTGAGCAAGAAAGCTCCTGTGCGACAAGTCAGTATACGGAAAGACGCACAGAGACGCGAGCGCGGAGGTGCTAACCGGTGACGGGACGCATCTTGAGCGCGGCCTCCTGGTTGCTGGAAGGGGTGGAAGACATCGTGTGAGTGGACTTGAAAGAGCGTGAAGTAGATGGATGTTGACGACGAATAGTAGTGGGTAGTGTGCTTTGGAATGCGAGCGGCTCTGATAATGCGCGGAATGCAGGAAGCGGGTGGTATATAAACAGTGATGGTCTGAGCTGTCGCGTTGCTTTCTCGGGGGCGGGGTATTGCGGTCTTATATCGAGACTAATGTTGTGATTGCCTAGAGGCAAGTATTCACTATGTGGTCATAGGTCGCAAGCACAATGTAAAGCGCGAGGTCGGCGCAAGCGACGCCGAAAGCAATGAATGTGTCGCGACATTTTTCTAAATCGCGCATTCAAGCACTTCATTGCGAAAGTACCCCTCTTTGTAGCGCTGGGTAGGTCGACGAGGTGAGTAGATGCGCAGTCACGTGCTGTCATATTCACTTCGATGACACCGCGTTCGGTGCTTGAACCCGCAACCGACGTAGCAAACGTGCCCCGATATCTTCGTATTCAATAAGCGCACCACCTATGGATCGCTTAGCGCAGGACTTCGTGCTACGCGCACAGTTTTAGTATACTGACCTAACACAGCCTCGTATATTCAAAGCCTGTACCAGCTTTTCAGTCACATATCCATGGTTCTGCGATCGGAACGAAAAAATTGTGAAGATGTTTTGGCGATGCGCATTCTGCCCGTTCGGTCGCCAGCTCTCCTCCTCTATCTTCTCGCGGATTCCCCGTTGTCGGTAAGGCAGTGACGTTGGCGCAGGCGTTCGCACTTCCCTATTCCGATTGAATCGCGCGTTGAACTTCTCGCATTCACCACATACGGCAACCACCACCTCGTCCACCACGGTACGAAGTGCAGTCACCCACCTCCTCTGTACACTCCACGCACCATCTTCGCGTTTCGCTGGTACATTATCGCGCAACTGTAGTCAGCAACCTTATAATAATATTACACCACATAGAGTAGTCACGGCACTCATCGTATACTGTAACATCCAAGATGGTCGACAAGATCGGGCGTCCACGAAAGGCTGTAGGCAGCAACGACCCTTCCGGAAAGGGCGATAGCGCTCCGAGAGGCCGCCAACAACGCAAGGCCTCATCAGAAACAGAAACATACTACAGTGCCCACGACGGCTTCGAAAATGCGCCCATGCAGTCCGCAGCACTAAGCGCAGCACAACAACGCGACTTCGAAGAAGCGCAAGCGGAGCCAGAACCACAATCTCGCTCGGCCAATATCCGCACCAGCACCGCCGCTGAGTCGCAAATCGGTTCCGACGAAGAAGAAACCCCTCCTCAGCCCTTATCCGCTTCCTCGTCCTCTTCATCAAGCTGGGAAGACCTCCCATCGCCCCAAACGTCTTCCCTTCCGAGCGCCACACCCTTCCCCGGCACTTGGCCCGCCGCACTGCACGATACCAGCGCCGCGCTGTCCGAGGTCTCCACTGCAACCCTTTCTTTCGCCAGCGCCCTCGCATCGTCTGGCATCGGCCGCGCATCATGGAGTATCGGCGCAGCAACTCTTTCCTCCACCAACCGTGCGGCCCTCTCTTTCACCACCTGGGGCATGGAGAAAACAGGCGTCATGCCGAATGAGCTTCCCAGACCAATGAGAAGGTGGATCCAAGGGAAGGAAGAGCGAGATAGAAGGAGGCGACAGGCTGAGCAGAGAAGAAGGGACAGGAGGAGAAGAGAGCGGGATGGACAAGTGTTCACCGGAGGAGTGGATGAGGAAGGGGGGTATGTGCTGGCTACGCATGAGATGGATGGTACGCTGAGGTTTGAGGGTAGGGGGCCTTTGGATATGCGGGAAGAAACTGATGGACAGGAAGGAGAGCAGGAATTTGTGCCGGGAGGATCTGAAGAGAGTGAGGAGCGGGAGGCTGAACATGAAGACGATGGCCTCACGCGAGTGTTTGAGTTCGACGATGATGATGATGAAGACATGTAACAGACGGGGGTAGATAGACGAAGGATTATGCGATGTAAATGTAACCACGACAATATATGATGAAGCCAGCTAACACTAAGTCACGCGCCTAAAACGAGATGCCTCGTACAACAGCCCATGTCACCAATGCTGTCCCCAATCCCCACTATCCCACACATCTACAAATTGACAAACTTCGCCGAGTTGCACTGCGTATCACTAGCAATCGGCTTCCCATTGAGCGCAATCTTGAGATGTCCCTCCCAAGTACCCCCATGGTCCATCTTAAAGCAAGCAGCATCATACCCATTCTCCTGCATCCACTTCAACTCCCTCTCAACCGCATTCCTAATCGTCTTAGACTCAGATGTCGTGTCGCACTTCGGGCCCGAAGTGGTCGCGTAGTACTGCCACACGGCGCCGTCGACGTTTCCGGAGATCACGGAGCAGCTGTTGACGTCGGATTGGCCTTTGATGTAGACGGCGAGGTAGTTGGCGATGGAGACGATGGCGAGGGTCGCGGTGGCGCCTTGGCTGACGAAGCCGGCGGCGACTTCGATGTCGGTGCGGGGGGAGAGGGGGGAGGCGATGTTCCTCGTGTCGAGAAGGGCGTAGCTAGAGGGTTTGTGTCAGTGGATTGTAATAACTGATGTAGAACAAGGGGGAACGATGACTTACTCTTTCTCGGGGGCACCGATGGCGAGAGACTCGGCAGCGCCGAGGAGGCAGAAGATGTGGGCGAGCTGGAAACGCATTGTGAAGAGGTGAGGTGTAGCAAAAGGGGTATTTCGGTTGTGTATTGTGACTCGAGAGGAATCGTTGTGGTGGGATAATAACCTCTATCTCGACGCATCGATTACTTATATACATCTTTAAACGCACACAACCTAAATCAGGCCTGCGCTCTACCTACCCTCTTCGTCAACATCCATACCCTCAACAACCGTTTCTGCCTCGTCGGCCTCAGCTTCATGAGGCCTCCAAACACACTGCCCGCCTTGATCACAAAATGAGAGAGGAGGTTGTCTAGACGGCGACGTGAATCCATGCCGCAACACTGTAGCAAAGGACCGAGATAGATGATCGCGGGGTGCCTGATGTACGGTACAAGGAGATAATTGAGTGTCGCAGTCGAAATAAGCCCGCCCCGCGAAAGCTTATGCCGATCTTGATCTGTCTTGGTTTCAAGATCCGGAGATGTCGGTCGGCGCAAACGTAGGGTTCTTTTACGGACCGATCCGGTACGCCTTAGGTACACAGCCTCTTGCGGCTATGCACGACGACTAAACATGGAACGCCTGAGCGATGCTGACGTAGATAGTCTACTCAAAGCGGCTATTTTTGAGCGCGGGAACTTTGCGGGGGCTGTGATTACTAAAACACCGCAGAAAGATGGGGTTCAACGTCTCCAATCGGACCGCTGCACAGGCTAATGAGGGAACGCCTAAGAGACGGCGAAGTGCAACACCATGATTGATATTGTATAGACGCTGATCCAAGAGGGGCGCCTTACACATAACAGGGTTGTACGGCGGTTTCCACGGGATGCGATGAAGACAGCATCGGTCTACCTGCTTGCCAATCAAGCATCTTGCCTCTATCCAGTACACTTCGGTCGTATCGCGAGGCTTTTCTCTCCAGACCCGTTGACATCAGGCGTGCAAGCACTTGATCATCATGGCTCAAGGCGTGCAGCAAGTCAATCTGTGCTCGACTCTTGACAACTTATCAGTCGGAACGGTTCATCGTGAGAGTGTATATATATCGGGTAAGACACACAGTTCTACCGCATCATCCTCACCACTCAACCATAACTACTTTACCGTGCTTTCATCTCTTACAATACAACATCCCCAATCCACTACCCATCATGCGTTTCTCAACCATCGCCGCAACCGCCCTCTGTCTCGGCTACAACGCCATGGCCCTCTCCCTCCCTGAGCGGGAGGCTCTGCCATCATTGAGCGAGGAGACACAGTCTAGGTACGTACGACGCAAAAGTCTCTTTCCACACCATTCCTCCAATCTCCTGCTAACACTCCACTCCAGCGACGACCTCGCCAAACGCCTCACCATCGAAGAGCAAATCGCCATTCTGGGCGCAGGCTCCATGGTCGCACTCAACGTGAATGCAATTGCGACCTACGTATCCAATCTCATGAAGGCGCAAAGCGAGGCCAACACTTGTGGTGTCATCTCTGGTGCTGTTGACGGGTACGTCTACTATCCCATCCCCCCTCCCATCCTCCAACCCACCACCACTAACCCTCCCCCCTCCCAGAGTAAACTACCAATACCACGCGGCAACAACCGGAAAAAACTGCGACACAACCGCCGAAGTCAAAACCATGAAAGACGCCGTGACGCGCGGCCTAGAATTCATGACGAACAACAACATCAACCAGGCATGCTTCAACATGCAGCATGGCGGGACGTGGAGGGGATTGTTGCAGTTGGCGAGTGGGGATCGGCAGATTGTTAATGGAAAGTGTGATAGTGTTACTTATACGCTTACTGTGTAGGGGTGGGCGTGGATGGGAGGATGAGTGAGCAGGAAGATGGGGATGGATGTGTAGAGGAATGGATTTGATGGTACTTGCTGTTCGTATCGCGCAGTTTGTTGATGTCTGAGTCAACCGTTCTTGATTGAACATCTGTTGCCGTTCATTCTTTCTCTTCTCCACTTTCTTCCACAGATGCGTGCTATGCTGTGATCACCGTGATGACTTCGATTCTTCTCAGTCTATAATCCCCGACGTTGTCCACTCTCGGTCAAAGAACGCCGACCAAGGCCTATTGCTTCCACGAAGGGTCAATCAGTACAACACGACATGACCTCAACATGGCTGCCTGATAATCCATGGTATTGCCTATATACACCCATCCTCTCACAAGTTACTTCTCTACAGCTTCGCAAAAACAGTCGGTACAGCCCCACCCATCTCAACAAGCGTACTCTTATTCCTAACCCAAGCCTCAAGACCCTTCTTACCATTCTCCACACCAACACCACTCTGCTTCCAGCCACCAACGCTCATCTCAGCCGGGCTTTCGCCCCAAGTGTTGACCCATGTGATACCCGCTTCGAGCTGAGCGATAACCTTGTGCGCGAGGTTAAGGTCTTTGGTGAAGACACCCGCCGCAAGACCGACATCGGTGTTGTTGGCGCGTTGGACGACTTCCTCGACCGTCTTGTATGTGAGGATGGACATGACAGGGCCGAAGATTTCTTCCCGGACGATCTTCATGTCGTCGGTGCAATCTGTGAAGACGGTGGGTTGGACCCAGTAGCCGTTCTGGTATGCCTTGTCGCTGTGTGACGCAACCCATGATGGGGTCTCAGGGCCGCCGCATAGCATCTTTGCCTTGTCGTTGTCGCGGCCGTGCTTGATGTATTGTATGACCTTCTCGTAGTGCGGCTTCGATACCAGCGGGCCGAAGTTGGTGGCCATGTCGTGGAGGTTGCCCGGACGAATGTATTGCATCTTCTTCAGCAATCGCTTCTCGAATTCCGACTTCATTGCTTCGGGAATAAAGACTCGTGTGCCGTTGGTGCAGACCTGTCCTGTTGAGAAGAAGTTGGCCAGCATCGCGCCGTCGACTGCCTGGTCGACATCCGCATCTGGAAGAATGACGCATGCCGACTTGCCGCCCAGCTCCATTGTCACGTACTTCATCTCGCCGGATGCGCTACCTGCGACCTTCTTGCCTGTCGAGACCTGTCCGGTGAAGCTGACCTTGGCGATGCCGGAGTGCTTGGTGAGGCATGCGCCGACCTCGCCGCCGCCCTGTACGACGTTGAAGACACCCGGCGGTACTCCAGCTTCAGCGTAGATGTCCGCTAGTACGGTGGAATGCAGTGGTGTGAACTCTGATGGTTTGTAGACCATGCAGTTGCCGGCAGCCAGACAGGGCGCAGACTTCCACAGCGCGATCTGAATGGGGTAGTTCCACGCGCCAATGCCCGCACATACGCCCAGCGAGTTCTTGGTTGTGTACACCCACGCGTCTGGTCGCAGCTGTGCCGTTTCGCCGTTCATGCCACCTCCGCCTACGAGGTTCGCAAAGTACTCGAGGACATCGGCGCCGGTGACTACATCTACGGTCGAGGTCTCGGAGAAGGGCTTGCCGGTGTCGCTGGTCTCGATACGGGCGAGTTCGTCATTTCGTGCGCGAAGCAGGGCAGCCGCTCGCTGGAGGATGCGCGCGCGCTCGATGGGTGGTGTCGCGGACCATGCGGGGAACGCCCGTTGCGCCGAGGCTATCGCAGCATCTATGCCAGCATTGGAGGTTGTGTGGATGTTTGCGACGGGTTGGGCAGTCGCAGGATCAATGGTCTGGAAGGTGGAGGTAGATGAGCCTGCTTGAAGCTTGCCGTCGTAGTAGGCGGATCTAGGCGCATATGGGAGAGACATGGTGAGTGGCTTGTTGGCGCAATGGATAAGCCTGGGGTTGCTTCTGGTGTTGACGCGGAGTCGCAAGAGTTTGGTCGCCACAATGGTCACGAGGAGCGAAATGTACCGGGAGAATTCTTATGCACAGTTTGATCTGCGCGTGTCAGCCAAGTGATCAAGATTGGCGCGGTGATGTAACGCAAACGAACATTTGTATGGGCGATAGCGGCGGCGAGCTTGGATGCAGCTGTTGCGCCTCTATTTCCTTTCACGATCAGTAATCCTTCGGAACGTCGCCGAGGGTACGTCAGCTGAGGGATATGCAAGGGGTGTAAGAAGGACAGTGATAGCAGCAGCGCTCGCTTTTCAGCGGGATGGCGTCGTTTCCTGTCGCTGCTGCTGTCTGGCACAAAAACGTCGCTCCGATGGCTGCCGCCCTCACCGCCCGGAGATCGGGGAAGGTGCGGCATCGACCGACAGGGATGGCCAGCTCGGAAGCTGCAGCCCAGCGGGGTCGCGCTAGGCCCAACGCGCCCATCACATCATCGGACGCTTTTACGACGTCTTTTTTTCTTTCACTGGCAACCACGGGTGACATATCCACGTCGTCGCCAGCACCATTATAGTCGTTGTTGGACGCAATTGATCAATCACACTTACTACCTGCTTGCAGCGTTCCATTAGTCACCCCTTCGGCCCATCGCCTCTCCTTCCTCGCACCCGTCGCAACATCGCTCATCCTGAGGCGTTGGTACGCACGTGCACGCGTCCGGTCCAACCGTAAACGGCCCTATTTAGCACAGTCTTATCTGGAAGGCGAACGACACATCTTGCAGCGGCGCACGACTCTCCATTCCCCAGCCTCATCGTCAGCTCACTTTTGCTGCTCCGACCTTCTGCCGACCGCCCGATCGCGACGCCCGGCCCATCTAGACAACGTCGTCTCCTTCGAGCGATAGTCCGCCTGGATATATAAGCTTGCTCCTGACGTGAAAAGCTCTCTTTAGCAGAAGTATATTCTCGTCATCACCCCAAGCCCACCACCCACACGCAACAATGGCTTTCGAGACCGTGACCTCCATCCCCAAGGATGCCGAGTATGACTTCGTCATTGTCGGAGGCGGCACAGCTGGCTGTGTCATCGCCTCGCGACTCACCGAATATCTCCCCAACAAGAAGGTCCTCTTGATTGAGGCCGGCCCAAGCGACTTCATGGACGACCGCGTGCTGCTGCTCAAGGACTGGCTCAACCTTCTCGGAGGAGAGCTCGACTACGACTACGGCACCACCGAACAGCCCAACGGCAACTCCCACATCCGACACTCACGTGCAAAGGTCCTCGGTGGCTGCTCATCACACAACACCCTCATCTCCTTCAGGCCGTTTGAGTACGACTGCAAGCGATGGGAAGCCCAGGGCTGCAAGGGCTGGAGCTTCAAGACCTTCATGCGCGTGCTTGACAACCTGCGCAACACCGTCCAGCCTGTCCACGAGAAGCACCGCAACCAGCTCTGCCTCGACTGGATCGACTCGTGCTCAACCGCCATGGACATTCCCGTGATCCACGACTTCAACCACGAAATCAAGACCAAGGGCGCCCTCAAGCCTTCCGTCGGTTTCTTCTCCGTATCATACAACCCCGACGATGGCCGCCGGAGCAGCGCTAGTGTCGCCTACATCCACCCCATCCTCCGCGGTGAGGAGAAGCGCGACAACCTGACTGTTCTGACCAACGCGTGGGTCAGCAAGGTCAACGTCAAGGGCGACAAGGTCACCGGCATTGACCTCGCGCTCCAAAGCGGCGAGAAGTTCACCCTCAACCCCAAGTGCGAGACCATCCTCTGCGCAGGCGCCGTCGACACCCCGCGACTGATGCTCCTCTCTGGTCTCGGCCCCAAGCAGCAACTCTCCGACCTCGGCATCCCTGTCGTAAAAGACATCCCCGGTGTTGGCGAGAACTTGCTAGACCACCCCGAGAGCATCATCCTCTGGGAGCTCAACAAGCCCGTGCCCGCAAACCAGACCACCATGGACTCCGACGCCGGTATCTTCCTGCGCCGCGAGATCCCCAACGCAGCGGGTGGTGACGGCGACATTGCCGACATTATGGCTCACTGCTACCAAATCCCGTTCTGCCTGAACACTGCTCGGTAAGCCCAACAACCCCACATTTCCGCGCTGCAACTAACATGATCACCAGCATGGGTTACGACTCCCCCATCGACGCATTCTGCATGACGCCCAACATCCCCCGTCCCCGCTCCCGCGGCCGCATCTACCTCACCTCCGCCGACCCCACCGTCAAGCCCGCGCTCGACTTCCGCTACTTCACCGACCCCGAGGGCTACGACGCAGCCACCATCGTCGCAGGTCTCAAGGCTGCTCGCGAAATTGCCAAGCAAGCACCTTTCTCCAACTGGATCAAGCGTGAAGTCGCGCCCGGTCCGAAGGTCGTCACCGACGAAGAGCTCTCCGAGTACGGTCGCCGCGTCGCACACACTGTATACCACCCCGCTGGCACAACCAAGATGGGAGATGTGACAAAGGACGAGATGGCCGTTGTGGACCCCGAGTTGAAGATCCGCGGTCTCAAGAGCGTCAGGATTGCGGATGCGGGATGTTTCCCCGAGATGCCCACCATCAACCCCATGTTGACTGTGCTGGGTATTGGTGAGCGCGCCGCGGAGTTGATTGCGCAAGAGTGGGGCTGGAAGGGTCTCCAGAAGGAGAGGTTGTAGACGCGCATTTCAAGAGAGGTGTGTTTGGTGGGTAGATGTGTGTTGGTAAGATGGTAAGATAGATGTGAGTTGATAACATAATGAGTGACGACTTTGAACGGTCACCCCAATGCGACAATACCCTTTGCAACAATACTATCTTCTTGGCATTTTGAGTGAACGGAGTGAGTATTGCTGTGGCGCTTGCTTTTGTAGTCTTGTAACGCGCCGTGAAGCCATCTTGCAAACGAAAACGAATCAAAGCTTGCATACTGCATGCGAATCTGCATTAACGAAGGTGAATAGTCCCATATAAGTTCATCACGGCGGAGAAGCTCGGATTGAACATGATGTGTTGGCCCGAGAAGGCCTAGTCAGTCGAACTTAGGGTAATGGTTGGTATGGGATGACGCGCTGATGCATGCCCAGCTTGACTTGCTTAGTGTGTACTACATGGTGAGCATGGTAGAACCCAGCTCTGTCTGCGACGGGCGCTGCTTGCCGCTCTTTGTTCATCCAAAGCTAAGACACACCACCCATGGTGTGTGTGAGTGCGGCAGCCCATTACGCTGGAAGGCACACTGCTTTTGGCTTGCGTTCGCTTTCGCATCTGTTCCAGTATCATGTGCTGCGCCAGTACGGGTTAGCTATCCACCACATGTTTCGAGCTACGTGCCTCGTACCACCAAGTAAAGACATACAAAGCTTCCTAATCTACAAACAGAGATGCGTCGAACCTTTTCCTCTATCATCACATCTCTCTTCCCACGAAAGCACATCTACAACCATGGCGAAGACGAACCTAAACCAACGCTTTCTCATCGAACTCAACGGCCAGTTCGTCAGTAACTTGCCTGATACCGAGACAGCCAATCTCGCCGCCAACCGTGAGGAAAGGTATTCCGTTAGCATGGGAGGCCGCGAGCAAGCTGCGATATTCACGCTGCAGAATGGACTGTTGCTTTGTAACAACGATGTGACTTTACTCGTTCTAGGCCGCTGGATAGAAGAGGAATCGACCACGTTCGAGCCTCTGCCTATGTACTGGGTGAGTCAGTTTGATAAGGTGAAGTCGGTTCAGTACACGGGGGAGGGGGAGGGGGAGGAGGTGCAGCTTGAGTCTTTTGGTATGTTGGTGGTGCTGCTTGCGCGACTTTTGGCTGACTTTGGTGTAGACTTTCCTCTTGGTGCACTGCTTGATGAGGATGGGCGGACGAGGTTGTATGCGTGTCATCCGAGTATGGATATTGGTAAGCGAAGCTTGCTTTGGAGATGTTGGTTTGGGGGAGTGGACTAATTATGCTAGGGCCTGGAACGAAGTTGCATTGGGTGGAGATGGAGGAGTAGCCGTTGCAAGAGGATGTCGTCACGTTGGTCTTTCGTCAGAAGCCTGTGGGATCGCTGGTCTTGTTGGCAATGCAACATAGGTGCAATTCATAGTCCATCGGCGGAGTTGCACGTGCCGAGACTGGTGCGGATTGCCCAGAGGATAGTTCCACCGTTTACTTAGTCCCCCTTACCATGTGTCCATTTACTGGAAACGCTTCTGTTGGGTGTCGCATCCTCATCTCGTTGTGTTTAGAGCTGGGCAGTGTCGCTGGATAGATGTGCAAAATGCGCCTTTCCTCCGCACTAGTTTCTAGCTTGAGGAAGAGTAGACGCGTCAAGCTGCGCCTTACTAAAGGATTGTTTTATAGAGAACATGATACATTTTTGAAACATGTATTGATTTGGGCCGGAAGAAATAGAAGAACGAAGGAAGGGACTCGCAATTCGCGAAGTGAATGAGCGGTGTCGTCAACAGCGCATCTGTATCGCGCGACCTCTGCAGCTCCCAATTCACCGCTTTCGAATCTTGCAGGGTGTCGGCGCTATCGTGTGACTTCTGAAAATCTAGTCTTACCGGCTTTAAGACCTATCCAATCCGAGCCTGTTGTCTTCATGATGTCGCACCATAGCACCTCGTCGATACCCCCATCCTCATTGTGCAGTACCAACTGCCAGTACAACGAGGCCCAACCCGAGCATGTGCGCATACATGCTTCTTATGGCTTCGGGCCGTTTCGATGTTGACAGGTAATACCTCTTGATCGGCTCCACGTCGAAGATGCACGACATACATTCGTACTTGCACACAACAGCCGGTAGCGGTCCCTAGATATCACACCTCGCTATGGGCGTGTCCACGACATGACAGTATTGTTTCAAATCGGCGGCGACCTTTTGTTCCTGTGTCGGTCTTCCTTCCCGGCCTCGAAGCGGAGCTAGCCCAACAGAAACGTAGTTTCAACACTATCCTTCAGCCAGTGTCTACCATCTCCATGGCTGAGTAGGTCCTCGTCGAGGATAGGAATCTTGGCTCTTTTGCCTTGCTTATCTAGAGCGTGCATGGTCGCGGGTAGTAGATATTCGTCCTCCGAGAAGTCGTCATCCCACGGGTCTCCAGGATCATGTCTTATATATTCGATAAGGTCCCACGCAAAATAGCCAATGCGTTCGTAATGGGTGTCGTGCTGTCGCAATATAAGGATTTGACTTTCGTTCTCGAATCTCGTACTGTCTCCTTGCCTACGTTGCGTATCTGGTCGTCGAACGATTACTGCGCAAGGCAGATAGATCCCTCCCTTGTTAGATCTGCACACAGGCTCTTCTTCCGTGTCCCAGAAGGCGAAAAGAAACACATCGAGAGCTTCACCATATGGGATCTTAGCGTGAAGTCCGTCTCGGGGATACATAGCCTTCCCCCTCAAGCTCACAAACTCTACAGTTACTATCTTAGTCGTTACCCTGAGAAATCTCGACTGTTCCGCGCCTGGCAAGTGATGTTGTTGCGAGAGCTCTCTAAAGCCTTGCTTAAGTGGCTTATACTCACCATTGCACCACACTTCGACGGTACATTCTTTTGAAATGCAAGGATCTTTCCGAAACGGGTAATCGACCTGATACGGGTAATTAACTGGGCCATGCTAGCTAATAGGTGACCAGCTAGGGAATTGCTTGCGTCGAGGGACTGGTGACGAATGTCGCCAATGAAGGAACATGTACAAGTTTAGGTGATATCGAACAACAAAAACGCCCCAGATGTAGTCATCTGAATATTCTGATTCGAGCGCGCTAATGATAGCTTTCAGCGCGTTATAGCTATACGTAAGTCGGCGTCGTGTGTATTCGTGCATTATTTGTTCCTTGAAGTCGAAAAGGGGTGCTTTGACTGGGCTGCGTAGCGTTCCAGCGAGTCCGATAGCAGCCTCACTCCCGCGGTCATTGTTACAGATGTAATCTACTTCAACATCTGTGAAATACATCCGTCTCCTTGATAGATAGCCTTCTTGGAATGTCCATCCTCTACTATACCAATTGGATAACTGTATTGATACAAGCCTCGTTCTTCGAGTATGCACGAGACGTATTCGATCGGTTACCGCGCATGAACTCGGCGTTCTGAAGTCGTCCGTGATACCAGGGAGACCGTACGTAGCATCTGAATTACTCTCCTCTGTACCTGCGGCTGCAATAATGGTCGCCTGAGACGAAGAGTAGATAGTACCCATTTGATCAATTTGATGCTGCTGGGCTATATCATCATTCTGATCGACGCACTGCACGATTAGTTATCGATCTGAATGGCTTTGTAAGTAAGCATACATATCTGTCAATCCAGAGGTATCGACAACCTAACATGATTGTAGCTTTGATACTATCCTCCACAGTGCGAGGGAGTATGTCTGGTATTCGCGGAAAATCCGGGGCGTCTTCCAGTCCTGCCTTTCCCCAGACATATGATAGCGCAACGTATTCGCAGTGTTCCGGTGCCGAGACAACAATTCTATTGTGACAGTCGAGCACCTTAAGATCGTGCAAAGCTGAGCCCAGCGGAGGCTTGCACTCCTCGTGCGATGACACGCAAGCACGTATCCAACGTTTCGCATGCGCAAAGTCGACGCGCTTTGGATGGACTCTACACGCTTGAACGAAAGCGTCGTCATCCTTGTCATAAAGCATCAAATTTGAGCGCCAAAAGAAGGTTCCGGATCCAACCATCATGTGTGTTCCGCTCTGTTCCAGACATGTTATAGGTTCATTATGTCCCGCTATCCCGCGTCCGATAACCCGGCAGATTGGACAAGCGGCGCTCTGGAGTTCATCTGGGGTTTCTGTGAAATACAGCTTTTCATAGTTCGATACATACCACCGTACCCATGGTATGGCGGAGCAGCGCTCGCATGTCTCCCCCTCCAAAAAGTCCATGGCGAATCCAAGGTCAGTCGATCAGAGGCGTCCGCCACTGCATGCCCATTCGAACACGGCCTGGGAAGATTCGAAACACTGATTAACCGAGCGCTTTATGTTCTAGCAAGCTTCTTGAGGAGTGGTGTTGAGAGTCGTCTTTGGATCTCATAGCGATGCTTGCCCCGCGGTCCGCCTTACCTTGGCTTGGTGCGGCACGGGCTGAGCCTCACGAATGGAGACTGCCACGCATGCCGCTGCACGTGCGATCTGCATTGAACGGATAGCCCCCAATATCACTCTCGCGCGAATCTTATACTGGTCTTCCACTGGCTCGTTTTGTGCACTGCTCCAACACCGTGGTTGCCTGCCGGCATCTGCTCCGCCGCCGAGCGTCTGCATTCGCGCCCTACGCCCCGCGCCCATCCTGGTTACGCAATGATCTCAATTCGCTCCTCGCGATAAGGACAGCCATTGCGCATCATGCTAGAATGATCAGTGGACAACAATGGCGATTGTTCGGCTGTACGAGCGCATTTGTGAGGAGCTGGCAAGCCGCGACGGAGGCACGGAGGGCTGCTGGCCCGGGCCCGACGAGCTAGGCGCGGTTAGCGGCACTGTCGTTATCACAACGGGCAAACCTCGCTAACTGACACCACCCTGTTTCGCGGCGCAATCCTGCTGGAAGGAGTGTCAGGTAAGGCGACCACCCCAAGAAGGGCGCCTAAGATGTCATGGTGTCGCCATCGAATCTCCCGGGCCAGCCTGTGCGACAAGCATGTGCACCTATACGCGCTGCGATCTTTCGACGTTCGCACATCCAGTGCCAGACTCCTGGCGTATCTTTGCTTTCGACGAACTCGATATGACGTAGAGTGTTGTGACGCGACGCCTACACACAATCTCCAGTATGCTTACAGGCTCACGTCGCTTCTTACCCAGTGTCAGGTCTTTCGCCACCGGGCGCACCCTTCGGCTGCTGTTCGCATTCATTGGCATAGCCATCGGGGTCAATCTCTTCGTTCTCTTCGACTGGACATACATCGAGTCCTTGCCAAGGGATATTCTAGGCAAGCAAGCCTTTCATCCTAAGCCATTCGCGCCGTTACCGCAGGAACTCAACACGCAAGCCGACAATGGACTGGACTTCTGGACCTGGAACACTACGACACAGTTCAAAAAATAAAATACTCTGAATGGAGGGACGGCTCCACAGACGAATGCGCTCTCTTCCCAGTGCATCTGCTCTCGAAGGTTCAGGTCATCCTAAAGACCGGATCAGCAGACGACAAATCACGAACGGATGCTCAGCTCTCAACAGTCATAAAGTGCATCTCCAATGTTTTGATCGTCTCAGATGGCAATCATACCTATGGTCGCGACCACCGAACTATCGACGTTCTCGCAGACTTGCCACCGAACACGTACCTGAAATCAGTGGACTACGTCGTTTACGAGACGCAGAAGAACGCAAGTCGCCAGGGCACGAAGCTACAACAGGGTCATGAAGGTTGGAGGCTTGACAAGTATAAATTCCTACCGGAAGTGCAAAAAGCGATTGATCACAACAAGGCGGCTGAGTGGTACGTCTTCCTGGAGAGCGATACATACATCTTCTGGGACAATGTCTTCCGTCTTTTGGAGAACTACAATAGCTCGCTGCCTTACTATTTTGGATCGCCTTCGCCCGGACGAACGTACCATTCTGACGCGCAGCGTGACGAGAAGAAACAAGTCTGGTTCGCGTACGGAGGCGCCGGCTTTATACTTTCCCAAGCCGCTGCGCATCGACTCGTTGATCGCCACCGCAACGCCTTCGGTCTCAAGGGTCCTCGTCTCACCACAGAATACAAAGAAGACATCAGAGCCGATTGTTGTGGCGACAGCATACTAGGGTGGGCGCTGCACGACAAAGCTGGAGTCGACATCAGCGGTATATGGCCCATGTTCAGCCCCCATAGACTCGAAAACATTCCCTTCGGTGAGGACCACTGGTGCGAGCCCGTCATCAGCCTCCACAAAACCGATCCAGCTCTCTACAAAGAGCTCTGGTCATGGGAGAACGAATGGAAAGCAAGTAGCAACGTTACCATGCGCTATCGCGACCTGTTATACCGCGCCCTGCTCTCCGCCTTGCAAGGCGAATATCCGCAGCGCGAGAACTGGGACGCAGCCTTCGACGCGGGATTCCAGCTCCCAGACAACTCCAGGGTCCATAGCAACCTCGATGCTTGCAGGATTGGGTCTACTGAACACGCCGAATGCATGCAGTACACCTGGCATGGACGACATTGCTACTTTGGCAAAGCCCTGTATATTGGTCGTGCAAAGCAGCCGGATGGTCATCATGACCCAGAGGACAGGAGGTACGTTAGTGGCTGGGATAGGACGAATATGGACGCTCTGAACTTTGGGAAGACGTGCGCAGAGGGGCCGCATTGGGTGAAACCAAGCATCAAACGGAGGTATTGAACGCATGAGATATACGCGAGTAGCGGCAAGAAGATCAGAGGCCCTCCACGTCCGGGATTGCGATTCTATCATAGAGTGCGACATGGATCTCGGCCATACCTCTACCTCAATCTTCAACCCCGATATCCTTCAACCCTCCTTGCCTCGTCCAAAAGATCTTCCAAGCATTCGGCCAACGTTCCTCCTTGAGCCCCCGAAGCCATTCCGCCACGGTGATCTCCGTATCCGCATACCGGATAACGCCATTCTTGACGCCCTTCCAATCCTTCATCGGCCCTTTGATGTAGCGGTGATTTGCGCCGCAAAAGCTCAGCCACGGCTCGTCGGTCCTTTCTTCTGTCGGTTCGGCTCCCTTCGTTTGCTGGACGCGCTTGGAGTGGCAATCTTCGCACAAATCGCAGTTGGGACAAATGAGGCAGTAGTAGATTGGCTGAGTCCACGATGAGATGTTCGTCTCGCATGGCCCGTCGCAGCCAAGACCTCCACCTAGAAACACGTCTTCATCAAGCTCATCGAATTCCGTTTGATCGGCGGACTCTGTTTCAGGCACATCCTGTTCTCCCGGCTCTGTAGGATCCTGCTTCTCCTCAATCGGCTCTTCCGGAAGATCCTCGCTTTCAGCATCATGTGCTTCACCCGTCAGGGAATTGTTCTGAATAACGTCGCCTTCGTTAAACGTTTCGCTTTCTTCCTTCACTAGCTCTTGTTCTGCACCAGCTTCGATGTCGCTCTCGTCGGAATGTGTCTCCGACTGTTCCGGTTCAGGATGACGTCCATAGACCGCAAAGTCGAGGATCGAAAACTGGGCGCTGATGGCAATTCTTGCATCAGACTCTAAGCTGTCCAAAGACGCCAAGACCTTGGCTAGTAGTCGCAGACTTGACGAGTCGTTCCACGAGATGCTGTCTTCAAGACCGGCGACACACTTCTTGAACAGTTCCTTCATGTACCTCTCATATTCCTTTGCAGGGCCCATGATCCGAAGCATATTTGCGCGCAGCATATCGACATGGGATTCTCGAATGTTCTTGTTGTCGTCATCGTTGTCGTGGGCGCTTGGTAGATCTCTCAAGGTGCCCATGATGGCCTCTTTTCTCGTTGGATCAGCAGTCATCTGGAACTCACAGAACAAGATGTCTGCCAGGTCCATTCGGTGGCGCGTCTTTGCCTCATTCATAGAGTCTTCATAGTCAAGATCGGGCTTTGTCTTCAAAGCTAGGAGCTCCTGACGTAGTCTCTTGCCGTTCTCGATATCGCCCAACATTGGGTAGTAGATGTCTGCCACCGCGCCTCGAATGTTGAACAAATGTAGGCTTTGTGGCGGAAGGGTGTTGGCTAAACTCTTCAGCCAGCCGATGAGTAGGTCGGTCTCGTTGCACAGCATCGCTGCCCTTTGCACGCGCTTCACCGTACGCTCCATTACATAATCCTCGAGATTGAACGTGAAGAAGCTATCGCGCTCCTTCTCAGTCCAGCTCTTGAGGATCTCCATTAGCCTTAGCCTATGGGCCTCGTCCTCATTCGGAAAGAGTCGCGTTATGTCGTCCAGAATGGTCCCAGCGAGTGGTTGTGCGCCCTGCAATCTTCTCGCCTCATTGAATGCTTGCAAAGCTTCGTCGGTCTGCTCCAACGTTGAAAGGGCGGAGGCTTTCTCGATAAGGATCGCTACACGTATTGACTTGATCTGATCCAGCTCTTGTTCAGAAGATTCATCGGCCTCGTGATCGGGTAGCATGTTGTAGGCTTCTTCGTAGTGCTTTACCGCGTCGGATGACTGGTCGCATCGACCACATACTGACGCAAGTAGGCGAACTGTAGCGACGTTGTCCAGAACGTCTCCCCGCATACAGTCTACTGCTCTCGTGAGATACACGCTAGCTTCCTTGATCATTGCTACTCCGCGATCGTCATCATCGCACGTTGCGTAACCGTGGTCAGCTAGAGTGCATCCAATAGCCCGTAGTGTCTTGTAGTCTTCAGGTAGAATCTTGTATCTCTTTATGATGGCCTTCATGTATTCAAGTGGCCCAAGTTCATTGGATTCATTGATTTCGAAAGGGAATGACTACAGCGCATTAGAGAAGTCGTTGCGTATGAGAAGTGGCTTACGAGGGACAACGCGGCCCTGACGAATCTGAATCTCTCGGGTATCCAATAATCGTCGTTGGCGTCCAACCAATTGTGGACATGACCGCGAGCAAGCCGAAGCAGAACGTTGTCTTTACGGACCACGGTCGTCCATTTCTTGACTTTACTATCCGAAAATTGTACTAGTAGGCTTGATGACCTGGCTGTCCAACTCAGAAGCGTATCGAGCCAAGCGATAGGCACTTCGTCAGCGCGCTCGGGATATATGTCTGTATGTCGCGCTAGCTGTTCGAATAACTTGGCGACGTTGTATGAATTGGCCGTGATGCAGTGCAGGAGTGTTACAACATCGTGAACAACTTCTGGGGTCGCGTTATCCGCGTCCAGCTCCTTGAGATGCTCATACCAATAGCTGATGGCATATACTGTGAGCCCGGAGCTTTGCTCTTCGATTCCTCGGGCCGCTTTCATCATCACAGCCACGCACATCTTCAGAATTGTCAGGTGCGCAGCGGTGGCAGGTGTCCGAAATTCCGTTACACCGTCATCTTCGACACTCACGCTCTTGAAGTATTCCCGCAGTGACCGATCCTGGAAGCAGAGAGGGGAGTCTCCGTACCCGAGCTCTGGTATGCCCTCGTCTATTGGCTCATCGATCTCGTCATCCTCTTTGTCATCGTCCTTTATATCGTCCTCTGGCTGCCGTGATCGGGTAAGTTCGAGGATACGAGAGGAAGGTCCGATGATCTCCTCTTCGATGTCGAAGCTGTCGTCGGACAGTGCGAGTTGAACCAAGCTCGATGCCTCGCCGAGGCTAAGCGATCGTTTCGAGAACGCTAGCCACGCGAATAACTTCTTCATCGCCTGGTATTGCGCTTCGGATCGATTTTGTCGGCACTCGTCCAAAAGAAGTTCGTAAAGTCCATGCAAGTTTGGAGGCATCTTCCCCAGTGCTTGCAGAACGGCTCTTTCTCGACCTATGTAAGAGAACCTCCTAAGCATATGCTCGACGTAGAGCATACTGTCTGCGTGTTTGACTACTTCGCGACGAATTGCTGATTTGGTAGTTTGGGTGAACTTGCGCAGGCGCGGCAGTGTGCGAAGACGGTCCTTCACCAGTATCTTCAAATCGTGCTTTATTTCATGCTTAGTGACGTTGAGGATCGAAGGCTGGAGCAGTTGCAGTGTGGGCTTGTCTTCTGGTCGGCTTGTCGCAAAGACTGACACACTGGCGTTTAGGCGCTTGAGATCCGACAGAAACCGCGTAAAGGTTCCACCTTCTTGCACGTGCGCCTCGTCTAGTCCATCGAAGACAAGGAAAAGGCGACCACCGAGTTTGTTATCACTTGGAAACACCGAGAGGAAGAACCTCTCCCAGGTTGACATTGCTGCGGACTCACTGGACTCTTGCTTGATCTTGGCCGCTACCTGTTCGGCGTATCTGTTATTTGATCCGGCAATCTGTAGTGCAGCCGAAGCGAACGCGTTTTGCATTGACTGTTGGTATGGATGCTCCTCCTTGAAATAGAAGTAGGCCAAGCAGTCGTGCTCGTTTTGACGTAGACGCAGCTCTTGGACGGCCGAGTAGGCTAGGAATGACTTTCCAATCCCCTCGGTGCCTCGTAACCAAAGGAGAGGAACTCCTCCACTTACCCAACTCTTGAAGCTCGCATGCTCATGAAGCCATCCGGCCGTTTTGCTTACCTTGGAATCGCGCAAATCTTCGTCTTGGAGCAGGTTCTCTTGGTGAGCATCCTGCCACGAAGGGAAGACATCGTGCTTGTCGGCGAAGAACTTCTTGAGTTCTCGCAACGCTTGGAACTTCCGATCTCCGATGTCACCCTTCGGCTTTTGAGCGAGCTTCTTCTTTTCCTCAATCTCCGGGGCTCTGGTCGTCTTATCCTGGTTTTTGATGATCTGCAGAAGCAGAGCACGATCTTCTAACCGCTCATTTCGTAGGGTAACGATCCCCTCGGTGATGATGAGATGTAGACTGATCGTGGTTGCGTAGACTTCCTGGATACCTTGGTCCAGGCTCGAACGGTAGGATTGTAGCTTCTCATCAAGCTCGTCTAACTTAGAACTATTAGCGACCACCCCTGTTTGAACGGCCACAAGAGCGCCGTAGGTTTCGTAAGTAATCGTTTCGTTGAGTTCCTGTATCGAGGCCTGCATTCCAGCATATGCTGCTATCAGCTCTTCATCTACCTCGTTCCACAAGGTTTTGAGCCAATGCTCTGCCAAATATTAGCACCTTCTCAACATCAGAGCCGTTGTCTCACTGAATCGTTTCTCCTTTATCAGCTGTCGTGCTCTGCCGCATACCGAGAGCTGCATGGAGAAGACCCTCTCAACAGCAATAGCAAGCGGACCGGACTGTGCTTTGTCCTCGAGGATTGACAGTCGTTGGAAGAAACGGGCTGAGTATGCGAAGAACTCCTCGACACGATCGTAGTCTGCTCGGACGCCTGCAAATGCCTATCTCACTTCAACACGGTATCATAGAACGATGCTGACTACTCACGGAAATTATGCGGCTGGCGGCAGTGAACACGAGTCCCACAGGCATCGCTGGAGGAAAAGCACTGACACAGGCCCCGACTGCAGCAAAGCCGTCAATGCAAGTCTGGAGGTTACCAAGATGATCCCCCATCGCCGATCGAAAGTTTGCCTTTTTGGTTCCGTCATCGCGAAACCCTTTGAACTCGTTCATGACCACAGTCGTTTGTCGCATCACGTCGGTGACGTTTCCCACTGCCATCGTCGAAAGATCCTCACCGGTACGTTCTTTGTAGTCTCGTATAGCGCCTCTCCATAGTCGACCGAGATCAGTGGATGTGCTTGGTTGCACAATTCTGGTCGCCATTGTGCGGCAACGGGAATCGGTATTGCGAACGCCACGAGGCCAAGAACGAAGTCGTAGGTGAATTTTGCGAGATGATGCAGGCACGCATCGGAGTTATAGCATAAGCCATCCTCGCCTTCGAAGCCGGCAGCACCAAGGCGGCCTCGGGTAAGCATGGTTCAGCCTCACGATGCATGCGTTGGTGGCGGGGGGCCGAAAAGAGGTATCACCTATGGAGAGAAGGGGGCGCCCGAGCAATATACTCCCGACTCGAGCTCGGCGTCTCATAGGAGGAGAGTGACTGTTGGGAGCAGCAGCGGGCTACATTGGGAAGCTGCGTGCAACTCAGTCATTCAGCTCCTCGCTCACGTACCGTTCAGCGACATCAAACATCTGCGCGCCTCTCCAGGCTGAACAGTCGCTGGGCGGCCATTCGCTGTCGCATTGTCGCGCTGTCTGGTTTCAATGAGAACGCGATGGTGGGGATGATGAGGGCGCGAGGATGGCCATTGCCATGCGACGGCCACTGCCACTGCCACTGCCACTGCCTACGTAATCAGGTCCAATGGGGATAGCGGGACACGTTCAGCTCGTGCAGGAGGAGGTATGCAGCGTTCTGCTTGTACTGCAGCAAAGGCGTATCCTGACAGTGTACAGATGCGCAACATCTAGACCATAATTTGACACACGATGGAACCGATTCTGGTGTGCCCGTAACGAGAATCGAGACCTAGCAGCTCAGACAGCCAAAGCAGCTACCGGCAAAGCGACGGCGTCACACAACCAGTCAAACGCGAATCAAAGTAATCGCGACCAGATCATCGCGAAACAAGGCCGAAATCAAGAAGTAGACAACGAAGACAGGAAAGGAAGTCCGCGATGTTCATCCCTGCCGCATGCCTGCACCATTTTGTGGAGGTGTCGCGGCCCGATTAGCTGCGGAATGTCTTGCGCTAGCGTCTCCGTATCATTATCTGCAGTCAGCACGCAGCTCGCATCAAAACTTATGACGGCGCTGCAACGGCCCAGGCAGCCACCTAGCGGACATGTCAGCTCTCCAAGCCCGGCGGGAGTAGTGTGCTGGCGTTCGCATGTTGAGATGCGCGCCCGATACTTCGGCACTAATCACGATTGGCGGCCGAGGCAGGGTCTTTTTTGAGCGGTGGACCCTTCTTTGATCACACAACATCCATGAATCATCCTTTCGACTTTTCCATCTCAACCAATTACCGTCGCCCCAGCGCCAGGAAACGCGTTCCAGACGCAGATGGCGTCATGCGGGTCGACCGTTAGTCCATCTGTTCCTGCCATCGCGGTGCGGCGCCTTACCACAACCGAAACGGTGGATGGTGAGGCATAGATTTCACGCTTTCGGAGCGTGGCATGCGCGAGCCTAAACCGCGGGCTGCCGACTGTTTCTCTTCTCCCACGTTCTGCATACTCAGCTTTACGACTCGAAAGACTACATACGAGAGCCCTACCGCGACTCCTTATCCTGCTTTGCGCGCATCGCTTGCATCCTCCCGCGAAGCACACACCCCGCTATAGACATCGCAGCAGCGACGCGACGGTACTCGACCCGCCAATAGCCTTTCCAGCAGCCCGCACAGTCGCGACCATGGCGACAACGCCCATCGAACACCCCTCAACCGTCAGCAGTCTGCCCACGCGCCAGAAGCCGATTCCATACTCCTTCGCCAATGGCCGGCGCACCCCGCTGTCGTCCATCCTCCCTCCCCTCGTCTTCGGTACAGCCACGTTCAACTCGCAATACAACACCGACCCCTTCGCGCTCGACACAACTGGTCTCGTGACCTCGGCGCTCACACATGGCATTCGCGCCTTCGATACCTCGCCCTACTACGGCCCCTCCGAACAACTGCTCGGCGATGCGCTCGCGACACCGTTCGTCCGGGAGACGTTCCCGCGCAACTCATACATGATCTTGACCAAAGTCGGGCGGACAGGGAGTGAGGAGTTCGACTACAGCAAGGAGTGGGTGCGCCAGAGCGTCAACCGGAGTTTGGAGAGGCTGCACACTGAATATCTGGACCTCGTATATTGCCACGACGTCGAGTTCGTGAGCCCGGCGGAGGTCCTGGAAGCAGTCAAGGAACTCCGCCGCATTAGGGACGAAGATGGCACAGTTCGGTACATTGGTATCTGTGGATACCCATTGGATGTGCTGGGCGACATGGCTGAGCTCATCCTCCGCGAGACCGGCGAGCCACTCGATGCGGTGCAGTCCTACGCCAACTTCACGCTCCAGAACCAGTCGCTCGCCGGTCCGCGCGGCATGTTGCGCCTGAAGAATGCAGGCGTCGACGTCGTCCCGAACGCCTCTATCCTTGGTATGGGCCTCCTCCGACACGACGGCATACCCGTCGGTGGCCTTGGTGACTGGCACCCCGCCCCATCCTCCCTCCGTGAGGCAGTGCGCAAAGCGAGCCACTTTTGCGACGACTACGGCGAGCGCATCGAGGTTATCGCCATCCGCTTCGCGCTCGAGACATGGATATCTGCTGGCGCGCTGTGCGGATCCCGCGGAGACCCTGCATCAGGCGTGCCCTGGACACACGAGTCCATTGACGATGTCGGCGGCTCCAAGCTGGGTGTCAGCGTCATCGGTGTCTCGCGCGCTCCCGAGTTGGAGAAGACAATGCTCGTTTGGCGATCCATTCTCGATGGATTGGAGGGCGGCAAGGAGACTGCGGTCCAAGCAGGCCGCTGGTACCGTGCGTGGGAGTGGAGCAGGAACCGCAGGAAGGCAGTGCAGATCCTCGCCGAGGGGGTCCAAGAGGTGCTTGGTGACGGCTTTGGCTACGAATGGGCGAGCCCTGACCCGGGCTTCGTCAACAAGAGGGTGAAGGACGCGAAGAAGGCTGCGCAAAGTGATGCGCCTGCAGCGTGGTTGACGCCCGCTGCGAGCCCGGAGGCGGTGCCGGTGAAGGATGCTGGCGAGGTCGCAGAGGACAAGTCTCTGCCGCTACGGTAACAGTGGAGATGATGCACATGTATATATTGAATTGAATCGCACATTTCCTAGTGGCCAGCATCTTCGACGCCGCCTCTTTCGGCTCGTCAACGCGACAATACAGCACACCATGTCCCTTAACCGCAACAACGACAAGCCACCCGCCTACTTGTTTGCCAGAACTCCAACCGCCGACGTCTTCGACTGCCTAATTATCCTCTTATACCCCTCAATCTGCGCAACCTCTACAACAACAAGCTCCTCTACCGTCTGCGCATCTAGTCTCTCTCTTTAAAGCATGACCCATCCGTTCGCTTGTGCGTGATCTACCTGAGCAATTATAACAAGACTCGTCTCGTTCTCTAACTCCCACGACGCCGCGCCCGCTACCTCTATCCCTGTACTCTTCTAATGCAGTTCCCCTAGCCCCCCACTCGCAGCAACCTTCTGCTTTGACGTGCTAATGTCGATGCGATAGCCCTACCTAAGAGAATGTCTTAGGGCTGCTAGGCCTAAGTAATTTTTAGTAGAGGTAATAAGCACTAATAAGAAATAGAGAGTAGCTCTAAAGTAGTAGCTCTAAAGCTTTTAAACTTTACTACTAAAAAGTCTAAATAAAATCTAAGTAGACTATTTTATATAGAATAACTACGTAAATTTAATACTTTACTTAGCTTATTAATAGCTACTTACGTTATAAAGTTATAAAGTAAAAAAGTTTTAGACTAAATTTTAAAGTTCTTTATATAATTACTATACTTACTACTAGTATAGCTTATATATAGCTAGAATTTAGTACTTATAAATAAATTTTAATACTTATAGCTAAATTTTAAACTTAAAGTAAAGCTAAAATTAAGTACTTATAGTTAGAATTAGTTACTAAATTAAGTACTTAAAATAGATACTTTTATAGCTAGAATTTAGTACTTCTATAGCTAAAAAAAAGTATCTTTATAGCTAATTTTATTATTTATAGCTAAATTTTAATATTTATAGCTAAATTTTAGACTTAAAGTAAGACTAAAATTAGATACTTATAGTTAGAATTAGTTACTAAATTAAGTACTTAAAATAGACGCTTCTATAGCTAGAATTTAGTATTTTTATAGCTAAAAAAAAGTACTTTTATAGCTAATTTTATTATCTATAGCTAAATTTTAATACTTATAGCTAATATTTTAGACTTAAAATAAGACTAAAATTAAATATCTATAGTTAGAATTAGTTACTAAATTAAGTACTTAAAATAAATACCTCTATAGCTTATTCTTATATCTAAATTTAGTATTTATAGCTAAAATTTAATATTTATAGCTAAATTTTAGTATTTATAGCTAGATTTTAGACTTAAAGTAAAGCTAAAATTAAATATCTATAGTTAGAATTAGTTACTAAATTAAGTACTTAAAATAAGTACTTCTAGAGTTAAATTTAGTACTTCTATAGCTATATATACTCTATTATACTTAGTATTAGTAGCTAGATAGCTTAGAATATTATTTCTCTAGCTCTAGAGTACGCTAGCTTTACTTTCTTTTATTATATCTTACTACTTATTATCTTTATCTTTTTATCTACTTTCTTACTAAATTATACTTTAGATACTTTATTTTATTTTACTATAGTATACTACTTTTATATCTACTTACTTATACCTTTTCTTCTACTAGAATTATATTAACTAAATATACTTACTTTAAAATTAATACGTTTCTACTATAGATATAAGCTCTACTACTACTTTAAT